TATAATTCCATGGGGAGAGTCAACAGAAGCACCCGTGATGATACCTGTTATACCATAATTTTTTCCCCTAAGATTATCATCATCTCACTTTTATCAATACAACAAGATCACATATTAGGGTTGGTTCTCCCTATCTTCATCCTATCTTTAAGTTTTCCCTTGAGGGATCACCAAGCACCTTGAAGTGTGTATCTTGTACATGTGTTCTTTAAACTAACATCAAAATATGTATATATGTTTCTATAAATGTACATATTATAGGTGGGGATACAATTGCATTCATCTCACCATCTAACTTAGGAGGTTGAAGGGTTGGTTCTCAATCAAATGATTTTTCAATGGATTTCAAGAGTTCAAGTTTCAATGATGTGTTCATGGTATCATTGATTTATAGTTCAAATAATTCCCTCACCTTATTTAGGTCAAACTTTCCTCAAAGTTGGTGTTGACATTCATCAAAGAGATAGGTTCGTGTGTTTATTTCCATGCCTTCTTCAACAAGCTTCATTGAGACTTAGGCTCAATATTTGAGTGTGATTCAAGAAAATGTCATTTCAAGACCTATTATGATTCATCGTGCTTTATATGGCCAATAAAGATCAAAATATTTAAGGTTGGTTCAATAAGTTTGACCTAATTGAGCAAATGCTTGATTCAATGGTTACAAGTGCATAACTCTCTCAATTTTCATCATTTTGAGTTGGTTCTTTTTGCTATGGATTCTTATCATCATCACTAATAACCTCTCTTCACATGAAAAGATCCAATTGTGCAAGAAAAATTATCAAAAGATAAAATGGGTTTCAAGTCATTTTGACACTCTCTGAGCTAGGGTTTGTTGACTTCTAAGGACCATATCTTGCTCATTTTTTGAGATTTTTGAGTGACTCCAAATCCATGATTCTCTTTTAAGGGTACTTAAAAATCCATCTTCGTAAATCTAAGACTAATTTTGAATGTAAGGTCGTTAATGATCTGGAAAGATCACAAGTCTCCTTGAAAGGCCTTAGAATTTTAGGGTTTGACTTCAAATGATCATAACTTGGTAAATTTTTATCTCCTTGAGCCTATTTTTTTCCAAAATGATCTTAAGAGTGTGAATTTAAACTCTTCTTTTATGTGCAAAGCTTGAAAATGGTTAGAAGATGCCTTAAGAGTTCAAAAGATTATAGGTTACTTCATGGATTTTCATCAACTTCACAAGGTCATAACTCTCTCAATTTTTTGAGTTTTTGAATGATACAACTTTCACAATGCTCTTTAAGAAGACTAGTTCATTCCATCTTCATTGACCAAAATATAATTTTGAGTGGAAGGCCATGTTTGAAGGCAAGGTATTATGAGTCATTTTTGAACTCAAAACTTTGAATTTTTCCAAGTCCAAAATTCAGTGTGTTTTTCACGATTTCAATTGATCATAAATTTTTTCTCAAGCATCCAAATTCTATCTTTCTTGGAACGTTGTGAAATTTATGGTGAGATCTTTCCATTGCAAAAAGAATGAGATCATAAAGCCCATTGAGCTATGTGCACCATGGATTCAAAGTTGGCACCTTGAAACTGATTTTGTCAAAACAGTCAGATTTTGATTTTCATAATGTGGCTTCTAAACACCAATTTTATGCGTGTTTTCCACTTAAACATGTTTAACAAAGTTGCTAAGGCCGGATTAAGGATTAAAACACATGAAATGATTGAGTTTTTACAACTTGCAAGTCACACTTTTGTCATGATCAGGGTGTGCACAATTTCACTTGATTGCTTATCATTCACCATCTCTTAGCATTGCATTCACTTCTCCTATAAATACAAACCCCGTTCCACTCATTTTTGCAAGCTTGGACAACCAAAATCACCCTGTCAAACTCACTATACAACTCATTATTTTGTAACTTCGAATTTGGTTCTACAGCCCTTTTCAATCCATTTTCTTTGCTAATTCTTCATCCTTGAACTTCACTGAAGCTAACAGAAGAAGAGCCAAGCCTTGAAGTGTCCTAAATTGTGCTAGCCAAGTCAAGTTTCAGAGCTCTGAATGTGAACTTCAACAGGTAGATTCCTCCATCAATTCTCTCAAAATTTGTTACTACAATGAACCTCTCATCACTCTGATAATCATCGCTTCATTTGTTTTTAACTAAAAGTGAGTTTTGATCATGAATTTCCAAATCTCTATTCAATTTTTTCTTCTGGTTTTCTACAAATTGACTGAGCTACAGTTTATATAAATTTTCCGCGAGGGTACCATTAAAATTGTCTTGAAGAGACGAAGCGAATGACACCGGTATGAGCTCTTGATTTTACAGTTTGTGAGACCTCCGATTCGTGTGGCTGAAGGTTGAAGATGACCAACGTGTTATCTCTCAACCAATGACAAGGCGCCACTTGTTTTTTTCAAATCTTTTTCTTAATTAATGATCTAATGGTTTATTCACTAATGTCCATGATATGTCTAGTGCGTCAGATCCCTTGGATTTGATTAATAACGTATTTTGACATTGATCAAATGGTCTATATCATTTTGCTTTTATTTTGATTTTTTGATTTTAGATTTTAATTGTTTTAAATTTCAAAAATTCATAAAAAAAATTCATTTCAACTTCTAAAATTATGAAAAAATTCTTAAAAATACTTTTGATTTTTCTCTTTGATTTTTATTTTTCCATAATTTTATTGTGAATTGATATTTTTTTATAATTTTTCACTTTATTTAACTTGTTTTAAATGATTAAAAATACCTTTCTTAATTTTTAAATTCTGGAAAAATTATGGAAGGATCCAATGACCTCTTGATAAATATTGGTGACTTCATTTTATTTTTATTTCTGATTTTATTTAAAAAAAATTATAATTTTTGGTTTATTTTGCATTTTTTTTAATTTAAAAATAGTTTGACTTTAAAAAGTTTCCAAAAAAATTCTCAACACTTATTAACTCATGTTTGACTTCTGACTTTTCTTTTGAGATTTTTATTTGGTGTTTTAATATACTTTGTGTATTTTACCAATTATTTCCCTTTTATTATCCATTTAAATATTGTTTTATTAAATATTATTTTATTATTTTTGTTTGGTCCTGATTTGGGTGGTATTTTGGGACAATATCCTCAACCTCATTGGATCTTGGGTGTTGATAGGTTGAAAAACCAAATCTACCAAAAGGGATGAAAGATGTTGACGATATCTGAAACCCTAATTTTATTTAATACATCCCTTCCCTCTTCATCTTATCCCTTTCTTACTTGTGCTACATGTTGTTGGAGAATGATCTACATATCATCTCTCTATAAATATATGGTACATAGATTGTTATTAACCATCCTTAAAATAGGTGTGTCTTCAACATAAGTCCACTTACGATTGCTTAACATAGCGCTAAATTTGTCCTGATTCAAGAAATGATCATATGTGGCTCAAACCTACATTTGCAAACCCAAGTATGTTTAATTTGAAATATTTGATCCAATAACCTTGAGGTTCATTGTTAAGAGGTTTTGGTCTTATCAATCCTCTAATGAACCATCATAAACTTTGGTCTAAGTGAATTATTTAAACATCGTTGGTCATATGTTATTGCCTCGATATTGTGACTGGTCTTTTAATCAGAGTCGCCACCCTTAATTTTAATCCTAAAGGAATGGAGTATAAAGGAATAATCATAAAGTTCAGAGATTTTATATTTAGACTCGGTTCTAGACGAGGGGAAGGTGTTAGGCACCCCTTACCTACCTTGTTCACAAGAATACTAGGTTTAAAAGCACAATTTTAGGAAAATGGTTTTTAATTTATTAGGGGAAATGGTTTAATTTTAATCAGGGGGACTCGCCCTGATTTTGATCGTATGCCTACGTACCCTCTTAGGAGGAATCAGAGTTCCATTTCGTAGTTTGCAGTTTGGTTGGTGTATTTTATGGATTGCGTAGAATTGATTTTGAATTATCCTAAAACCTTGTCTGGATTATAAATTGAGTGATCGTAGATGCAATTCGCAGTTAATTTTGAAAGTGATTCTCCTTAATCATTTTTTCGAAAATATCTTGATTTTGATTATGTTAGTTGAAAAATATTTTGATGTTGGTTAGCTATTTTGGTATTTGACTTGATTAAGACGCGGAGCGGGGGAGTCTGATATAGTCTCTTTATCATGTGGCCAGATTTTGGTCACGTGTCATTCGCGGATGATGAATTTGACGAGTTGTGTGAATTTTAATTGTTTGATTTTGAATAATAAACCGGTAAACGATGTGTTGACCGATTTATTTACTCGAATATGAACATCCTATTATTTATAGAATGTTTAAATTAATTAACGTGAAAATTATTTGAATATGGATAAGTATAGTAATTATTTTTGTTATTTTTATATTATGAACAAAACAAAGTGACGTGATTTAAAATATATGAACCAAAAACGTGATTAGGTGATATTAAATTATTAATTTAATTTTAATTATTTTAATAAAACACTTGTGAATTATTCATTGATTTTAAGAACAAAAATATTAGTCTAAAACCTATGTACAAATAAAGAGAAAGTTTAAGCACCTTTTTTATATCGAAATAAACAATAACGTTAATAAAATAAACAAGGTTTCAGGGAAAATTTTGCATTACCACTTTTCTCTCTCTTAAGTTCACATCTTATCCCCAAACGAAACCGAAAGCGTAGAAACCATCTCTAAGATCTAATCAAAATAGCCATAACTCCTCTCTTTCATAATTTTGAGTCTTTGAATGCAAGTGTGTGGCCATGTCTCTCAATTAGCATCTACCTGTGTAAAATTTGTAAGTAAATACATAGAAATTCATATGTTAGAATCTGAAAATTTGTGTATTTAATGGTGTTGTTGATCGCTTTTTGCAAGGGCGTTGGAAAAGGTTAGCGGAGAAGTTGATGTTGTCGAATCCGGCGGTGCAGTGTGTGAATGGTGGAGCTGCTGCTTTTGTCTAGATTTGCGATTTTACAAGTTCATTGAATGAAAGTTTGACAAGTGAAGGTTTTCATGGGCTGGATTTTGGTTGAATACATGTTAAAAACCAGTGATGGATAAATATGTTAAAAATTAGGGATGGATGTAAGAGAAATGAATTTGGATTGATTTTAAAAAAAACAAGGTGAATGAATGTAATATAGTGACTTTGTGAAGTGGTGATGATATTAGTTATGGAGATAGTGCTAGCGATTTTGAAAAGCTTTGATTTTTTTAATGAGTTAAAGTGTTTCTTTGGGTTGTTACTGCAAATGTAGAAGAACCAAAAAGATGAAAGTTGTTTCTTCAAGTGTATGTGAATGTACCGTGGATAGTTTTGTGAGTAAGATATGTGTGTGGCTGGTGGAAGTGATATGCACTCTTTTAGTGAATCAATAATTATCCAAGACAAAAAGAGAAAGGACCACCAGATGATGATTATCATAATATATACAACAATAAACTTGGAAGAAAACTAAGAAAAATAATTCTACTCAAAAAGTCTTTTTTGTCCTTTTTTTTTAATTACGCGACACGTGGATAGCTTATCCATGCATCTACTTTTTTTTTTCCCTCTTATTATTCCTTCGATTCTCTTTCCATTTCAATTTCCACTACCGACGGCTTCTCTTCCATCTACAATTATTGAAAAATGGTTTCTCCTCCATCTCCGTAAATTGTCCCTCTCTCTGTTCTTCCATCTCCAGTTTACAATAACCGTTTCTCACCAATTCCAAAATGCTTCATCTTTTTCTTCTTCTTTTTACCTCTTCTTCTTCTTCATTCTTCCTTTTTTTCGTATTGAAACCAAATCAAAATTTATGATTTCAAAATTAAATCTGGATCTACTATCAACAATCTCGCTAACGGAGCCCTAACTGGAACAAAGAACGATCGAATTCATCCTACAAATGTGGCGGCTCTGCATTTTCGTGGGGTGATGGTAGTAGGAGGGAAAACTTAAACGACAATTGTTAAGTTTTTCGGTGATGGATATTTCTTCGGTGTTCGAGGCATCAACAAATCTTTTGTTTCCAAAACCTTTTTCTCTTCCAATTTCTCCACAAATCATGGAGGTTATAAAACAGAATCTTCAATTCTTTCTCCAATCGTTTTCCACTCCACGAGACTCTCACAGGTTTGAGTTTCTTTACCGTCTCATTTTCTCATTCTTATCGTAGTGATTTTGATGTTTTATGTATAATCGTATTTTGATGTTTCAGTTGTGAAATTCTTTGTTTCTATGCTTTAGGTTTGGAGAACTATAATTGTATCTAATGATGAATCCCTTTAGGTTTGGCCAACTATTTAACAAATAATGGATAGATAATTTCAATCATTATTTATGTTTTCATACAATTCCACTGGTGCAGGTTGACCGTAGACCCGGTGATGTTGAAATTGTTTATGAATCTGCAGAAAAAGTTGAAAGAGAACTTAAGAGGAAGTAACTTCATTTTTTCAATAAGGTACTACGATAAGGTATTACAATTATTTCTCAATTCCCGGTCAGGTTTTACGATAATTTCACAATTCCGTAACAGTTCAAATGTTTGATTGAGTTTAGTTGAATTGGATTGAATTTTATTTCTAATATATATACTGGTATGGTGACTTGTCATTGGTAGATCTATCATTTTCTATCTGGCTTACTATAGTTCTGTATATTGACAAGGCAAGTATCATGAAATGGTGACTTGGAAAACCTAGGCGGAGCAACATCTTATGGACATTACACTTATTCCAAGTGTATGTTGGTAGAAGGGTTAGTGGTGTAACTCCAAATAATTTAAGTTTCTACCCAGGTTGGCTGCACTCGTTGCATTGGGCATCTAGCACCGAAAATTCTTAGTTGGATGAATATTTAATTAAAGAAGGAGCAGATGAAAATGATGTTGATAGAGCTGGTTAAACTCCTCTAATGAATGACATCCTTTGACATAACAAAGAGGTATGATTATTCTACCCATATACATATGTTCATTAGTGCATTGCTTTTCATCTTTTCTTTCATCTTATCACTTCTTCTACTGTTCAATTTCAGAATCTAGGTTGAGTTATTAAGAACAAAATTTCTAAGATGATTCTGAAATTCTATTTTACTGTTGTTCTAGATATGACTCTGGTTTCATCAGTTTATAGGTATTTTAGTTTACACCTAATAAATGAGCATATCTAATACCCTAAGTACCAATATCAGTAATTACACTCTTTTTGATAAAAATAGTTATAAGTTAAGAGAAATCTTCTATCTGATGATGGTAACTTATAGTGGATAATGGACTATTCTATTTCCATATGGAATCACTAAATTGATTTGTTTTTGGTTTTGATGAAATGCAGTAGTTTGATTTTACGGATAAATATAGAGGCAAACATGACAGCAACATCACAATTACACAAAAGTACTACATATCTATCAGTGGCTATAATGTAAGATTTTTTGGTTCAATGCAATTCTGGATCAATATAAAAAAACTTTACATTTGAAATTTGAAATGAATATTCGAATTATAATTGAATGTTGGTAATTGAATGCACATGATGAATTTCTTTGTCCTTCTGCGTGGTTGTATCAAGCATCTAACAACCAATATTACTTGGATTACCTTGGTAGAAATGGTGACTCCATGGGAGGAACTGGTTGGCAAATGACTTCCCCGAAATTCTTGAGTCTCATTGAACTCAGACAACAATCCTGCTTGTGCATTTGTTTCATCTTTCCCAGTTACATTACCACCTATGCATTGCACCTTCTTCTAAATCACGGTGTCGTCGTCAATATTAAAAGATAAGTGATTCTTCACAATCTCTACTTGATTCACATTATTTACACTACAACTTTTCATGTCAATTGCTTCGAAACATGATGCCTGGTTATTATGAATAATTTATGATACAGGTCAGTTCCTTGGTTGATGGCATGTGCAACATACCACGTGGTATGTTGGACTCCTTGCTCCACAATTCTGCCACAACTGCCCTACTTGCTCCATAACACGCCACGTCTTTTGTTTTCAACATGACATGTCTTATGTTTTCAAACTATCAACTACACCTCTTCTCTTTATCAAAACCTAAAGATGCATTTCAAAACAAAAACTTCTGTTGCCCCACTTGATATCAAGATTGATAGGGAAATATTGGATTCAGTTACAGTTACCCTTAAAGAAGGTTTGTTTCTTTCATATCAGAATATGCCGAATATTATTTTATTATTCTCTGTTGCTGTGAGCTTTTAAACTTCCAATGTTAATTTATTTTCTCTAAAACAAACTATGCAGATTTTTGCAATGGCGTCTCATTAGTCTTGCTGTTGGACTGATATTGTTGTTATTGGCTCATATTATTAGCAGTTGGGTTTCGTTTTATTACAATAGTTCAATGACCATATGAATCTTTCTTGTGCTTATAATCTTTTTTAATGTATATTACATCATCTTATATTTCATTTATTTGCATCAGGCTCTATATTTGGAGTAACTCGACGTCAGTTTCGGCTTTATGTACATGCTATTGTTCTATTTATATGTTATTGTTCTATTTGTAGGTTCAGCATCTGATTGCAGAAGTCGGTGAAATTCTGGCTAATGATACTGTAGATAAGGCTGGTTTGGGGAAAAACAAACTCACTGATCAGTCATTGGAGCTTTTTTATTTTTTACCTCAAGCAATTCAAGACATTTGCTTGAAAGTGATCCACATGGAAATGTTCAGGTACCTAAAGTTGCATATCATTATATTTTGTGTTCATTTATCTTCTTTATCCAATTCTGAATCAGTATCATTTTCTACCATGACAATTTGAGAGTTTTCTTGTACAGGCTAGGGTTTACTTTAATAAAATACAACGCTTCTAATAGTGATAAGCTGGAAAGTTATGAGGATGAAGAGTATGTGAGTGATGAGATGGATAGCTCTGACCCAGATTTATCTGATAGTGATAAAGGGAAAGTGCCAAAGTTTGAAAAGTTTAGGAAAGAGCATTTAATTAAGGATTTTAAATTTCAGTGGGTGAAAATCAAACTGTAGTACCCCATGCTGTAACTCAGACTACAGTACCCCATGCTGCAACTCAAACTGCAACCAATGAACTAGTTGACTATTTTGGCGACATAACTGATGATTTCATTTCAAGCATTCTTGGAGTAAACACGACACATTGTTCTGTTGTGGTTGGTAAACCAGACAACAGAGACAAGAAAAAATTGAAAGTGAAATATGTCAGGCCCGTGAGAAAGAGGTCCAGTGAAAGAATAAAACTCCAGTGATTTCAAAAACCAATCAAAGGGCCAGGTTCACACCCCGAGCAGCCTATGTATTTGACAGAAGAAGAAGGAAGTGGTTCTAAACATGAAATGAAGAAATCTAAGAAGAAGTAGTCTTATGTTTTTACTGTATATTATGCCCTTTTGATACTTTGGCATTAAGTTATGGTTTGTGTCCTTATGGTTTGTTAGGCTGTTATGCCCTTTTGTGATGACATTGACATTTTGTGTCCTTATGGTTTGTTAGGATGTTATGCCCTTTTGTAATGACATTGACATTTTGTTCTACTTATGCCTTCATGTAATGAATCCTTTGTGAGCAACCCTCTCACATAATTAGTTTTGAATGATAGCAAATATGTGTGAAATAATCAATGAATATTAAAAAATGCTTTTATCTATATGTGTGCATTGTAAAAATATAGTATAATATGTTTAAAAAAAGTTAAGAATGTGTTTTACACATAAAACACTTTTGTGAGTTGACACAAAGAGCTTTACATCGACACATACTTAAGCAAAGAATCATAAAAACGATTATGCTTCAGTATGGGTCGACACATCCATGTTATGTATCGACTCATAACATGTTGATGCCCCTGGAATACAATTTTCAACCTTTATGCATCGATACATAACTTCATGCATCGACACATGATATATTGATGTCCTTGGAGAATATTTTTCAACTTGTATGCATCGATACATAACTCCATGTATTGACACATAACACGTTTTATCTTCAAAAATCAAAAATTGAATTCAGTATGTGTCGACACATACGTGTTATGTATTGACTCATGTAAAATGGATGGCTCTGTAATATGTTGTAGTATCAGCTTGCATCGACTCATTTTATGTTGTATAACTAACATGAGTCGACTCATGCTAACATGTATAGACTCATAATACATATTTATGTCTCGTACGAATTGCAACTTCCAACACTCTTGCTAGCATCCTCCACTTGAACGTAGGGACGATTTGCAGTGAAAATGGTTCAACACGGTATTGAGGGAAGAAATTAGCAAGACATTATGGACAAATGGTAGGGACGAACACGGTATTAAGGGAATAAATTAGCAAGACGGTATGGACAGACGGTAGCTGCTGAATGTGTATGTTGAAACATGAAGAAGACGAAGACAAAAAGGTTGGGAAATAAATTGAATAGAATCCTAGATTTTACAGAGGGTGCATCACAATGTTGGGAACTATGTTTAATATGCACAAATATTCCAGCATGACTTTTAATAATACAGTCAGCAAAGAATCTAATGCCACGTGTGAAACTCATAAAGAATGTTCGGGTACAGGGTTTTCTGTTTGAGAATCTATATTTGTTAAGGGGCGGAATTTTTTTTTTTAATAGGGGGTAAATCAAAACTCGTTACTATTGCAAGGGGGTAAAGTATATTTAAGTCCATTAAATATTAATAGAAACATAAAAAGGCTAATTAAACTATTGAATATTAATGGAAACATGAAGTTACTGGTCAAAATATTGAATATTAATAGGAACATAAAAATGTGAATTTTTTTGGTGGAATAACCATGTATTAAAAAAATCGCAAATAACCATGTTTCGGAAAAAATTACGCAAATAATCATGTTTCAGAAGACTCCCCAAGGGAGGAGCCATCTCACTTGGCGCCTCCACTCGGCATTATGCCCTAGGCGCCATCCCACTTTGCGCCTCCTCTCTCTTTTAGCCAAGTGAGATAGCGCATGCACTTTAAAAGTGAGAGGAGGCACCATCTCACTTGGCTCCTAGGGCAAAATGTTTTAATAAATAATTCGTTCATTTCTCTATCATTTCTCACACTTTCTCGCATTGTTTTGTTATTTTTTACTCTGTTATTTGCGTCATGACATTGCCCATGATTTTTACCAGAGATGGTTACGTTATCTTCTCCGTCACAAAACCTCTGATGAAAATGAAATTCTGGCACATTCACTCCATGGAGCGTCTGAAGCGGGAGTTGATGTGATGGCTAGATGGAGACATCGTGGAGGGGGGAAATTAGAAGGATCCAGCGAAGACGAACAACAACCTCACTTGCGACAGGAATACCTAATGTTTGGTTGGAGGAAGTCAAAACATACAGCGAAGTAATATTGATGATGCATGGGTCAGATGGAATTGTTTTAACGGTTGTAGTTTTGTAGACAGTTTATCGTGTTTTTTTTCTTGTTCGCGCAATGTTTATTGTAACAAATTTTGTTAACGAAAAACCCTAATGTTTACAACATAATAAAGGAAATATTTTTTGTAATACAATTTTTATGTGGTTGAGGCAGTAGCTCAATTCATACAATTTTTGCGATTGTGTCTGACCTGACGACATAAACCACACTTTCTTTCCAGCTTGTCAAGGGATTCCATTTCGGTTGTGATGCGCTTACTTTTGGGACGACCCTTTTTATTTCTTCGCATTTGGTCATTGTGCCATACTATTTCGCCGTCGTATGCAGGCCAATAATCTGGTTTTGCTACCAAAGGGAAGCTGTTGTTGTAAACGTTGAGCAACATTTCAGATTTGTAAATGTGTGACAGAAGTTGTAGCGCGTCTTGATGAGTATAGGAACACGCGGAAATGACATGAGAGAAAGGCATACGAAAGGCTTGAAACTTGCCACAATCGCACCAACGAGAAGGTAGTACAACCCTATATTCTTGTCTTGGAGGGCCCTCGTTGTGGTCGATTGTCTCTTTAAAAATGAAGTTGTGGTTGTGTCGGTCAAATCGTATAACCATATGGGTGTTGGCTTTGGCACTTTCTGCCTTAATGTACTTCATGCAGCTTTCACTCCATAGTTGTCCAGATTGCAACACCGCATTCCATATTTCACCTCTTTTGGCAAACAACGAAGTCATCCTAAAATATGTTGATTTAATCAAAGAAGTGACCGGGAGGTTTCGTATGCCTTTGAATACCCCATTCATCGATTCAATTAGATTTGTTGTTATGTGGCCCCATCTTTGGCCATTGTCGTATGACCTAGTCCATTTTTCAACCGGAATATTGTCGATCCACCTACCGGCTTTCGGATTTGACAACCGGATCTCGTTGCGATAATATTTGAACGTAGGTTGTGTCAATGCATATCCCACATTCATAACCGCTTTCCTAAGTGTTTCGTATTTGATCTCCCTCGTGAAATTTTGGACGATGTGTCTAACGCAATAGACATGTGTAGAAGGAGGGTTGTGCCAACCGTTTGCAGGATTGTTGTATGCACTTTCAATGGATGCATGTCTATCCGAGATCAAACAGAGATCTGGTTGAGGAGCCACGTGTGTTCGCAGACTTTTGAGAAAAAATCTCCAAGCACCACCAGTCTCCCCCTCGACCAGGGCAAAGGCAATTGGGAAAATGCTGTTGTTGCCATCTTGTGCAACTGCCATCAGTAGCGTACCTTTGTATTTCCCATAAAACCAAGTCCCATCAATTTGTATAATTGGTTTGCATGACGCAAACCCTGTGATGCAAGGTTGAAAAGCCCAAAACACTCGACTGAATATTCCATTTCCATTGAGTTGACTACCATCCGGGGCGTATGCTGGCACTGTTTCCAGAATGTAAACAGTACCCGAAGAATAAGTCTGGAGTGCATTCAGGTAGCGAGGAAGTTCTTGGTATGACTCCTCCCAGTTTCCATATACCTTTTCAATCGCCTTGGTCTTTGCTAACCACGCCTTTCGGTAAGACGGGGTATAGTTAAATACCGTAGTGATATGGGAGATTATGGTTTTCACCTTCAATGATGGATCGTTGCTGACGAGTGGTAGGATTTCTTGACAAATGAGATCATAATTAAGTTTTCGATGATCCTGTGATTGAGTAGAACTGACACAAGTGTGGATTGACATGGAACCTATGACCCAACAATCACCTCTTAATCTGTATGATGCAGTGAGCTTGAACATACAATCAGGGTGGACACACTTGATCTTGTACCTTTCTGGATTTACACGGTCCACCTTAAAATTGACCGAGTTGAGCATGTGGAATTTTTTGATGGCTCTAATACATTCTTCTCTGTTACGAAATTTGTCTTTCTCTTTTAAGTTTTCATCCGACTGCATATACGGATTGAAAAATGAATCAGAAGTCGGTTCATCTCCATCCATGTTGAAGTTTGTCATGTGCGAAGGTGGTGCGTAGATCTCGTTTGCAGGAATACCAGGTATCCCATCGTCTTCGGAATCATCATTGACCATTTCGTCAAACTCCAACTCGTCATCTTCTTCTTCTTCTTCATCAACTGCATCTACTTCTGCTTGTTCGGTCTCCAAAGGATCAACCACTTGTGACAGCTGTGGCTCTCGCAGCATAATGTATAACTCAATAGAGTCGTACGCAGAATACTCATGACTGGAAAACATATTTTGAAGATCCTCGTCATCTTGAACCTCAACCTTATAAAATATTATTTGGTTGTTACCAAAAAAACTGGATTCTGATAGAATATTTGTGTCATGGGGCCTCGTCCAAGTTTGGCCTCCAATCGTTTTTTGAAGTACAAGAAATTAGCTTTCCTGTTTAAACAAAATCGGATGTTCTCTGTGTCTCTAAAAAAACCCAGAGGTGGGACAAATGTATGTCTGACTGTTGAAATGTGCACTTATCACATATTGGGGTGCAGAGGCCATTGTGTATGACTGTTTGAAGGTTTGAAGGTTGGAAGGTTTGAAGTTTATGAGTTATTTGCTGGAATTTTTGAATGTTCTAGTGTTTGAGAGATTAAGTGTATCAGTGT